GCTATGAGTTATTCAAATAAAACTTACAGTCTTGTGGGAGTCTAGACTTGTGGGAGATTGTATATGGGAGGTGACAAGAATTATTCCCAGATGACTTACAAACCTCTAAGTAGCTGAGCTAGAACTTTGTGTTTATTTTAGGAGGTCTCCAGGAGACAAAGAAGGTTGAAAATGGGCATTAGCCCAAGGACTGGTCCCATGGTCTTTCTGTTTGCTGTGGGCCTTGGTCAAGCTACTTTATCTTATCAAGGCTGTTTCTTGATTGATACAACACATATATTACAATTAACCTCCTATAAGTGGTTGTGAGGATTAATGAGACAGTCTCTATAAAGGACCAGGATAATAACTTGAATAAAGTATGTGTTCCAGTCAATGGTGGGTAGTATGTTTTTTTTCAGACATGTTGATTTTAGCTAAATCATCCATGTTGGGATTAATTTTGTTTGGCGGTGTTGTGGTTTGGATCTAGATGTCCCCCCAAAGCTTCATGCAGTCATAGGTGGGTGAATCTAGAGTGTGTGATGCTAGGATTAAGGGTGTGTGACTACTAAATCATTACATGTGAGAGATTGGTTCCCTAATCCTGGTAGTCTGAATTAGATAAAAGAAGCAGAAAGACACTGTTAAGGTCTCTTGTTGCCATTAACTTTTGCCTCCCTTGTTGCTTTGCTGCCTTCCTCCACCATGAACTGTTGTCCCTCTGCCACTTTGTTTTGGAGCCATCTGATTATAGAGTGAAACCTCTATGACCTGTAAGCCAAATAAATCCTTCCTCCTATAAATTTGGGTATTGGGTATTTTGTCTCAGAAATGAGAGAAAAGTAACTAGCACAGGCAACTTTCTTGTGAATGCTTATCTCACTGGGATACAATGACATGACACTTGTTTGGCTAATCTGGGGGGGTTCAGAATGTGGACATCCATGTGGAGGAAGACAGGATGAGAGCTGGACTGAAAACGTGAAGGAGGAAAGTGTTGTAGTCTGGATATGATATGTTCCCCAATGCTCAAGAGTTGGGGGTTGGACCCCCAGTTTTGATCTGAGGCTGTTGGGAACTGACTGGATCATGATGGATTAATCCACTCATGAGTTCATAGCTAAATGATGTTATTAGGAGTTGGGGCCTCATTGGATGAGGCAGGCCACACCTCTCCTTGCCTGCCTCCATGAAGTGAGCAGCCTTCCTCCACTACACCCTTCTACCGTGGTGTTCTGCCTCTTCTCAGGCCCACAGCAGTGGAACCAGCCAAGAATGGATTGAAACTCCTAAAACTGAGTCAAAATCAACCTTTCCTCCCTGAAGTTGTTATGCTCAGGTATTTTGTCACAGTAATGAAAAGCTGAATAGTGCAAATGGGAAGAACTCACCTCTTGGGAGGGATCTTTCAAAGAAGGAAGCTGACCTCTTATTTCCTAAATTGCTGTGTCTTTTGGGTATTCATTGGAAGCTGGTGCTGGCCCAAATTTCCTGCCAAAGATGAAAGGCTCCTGACTGGTTGCAACTTGAACTGACCTCAGCCCCATGGTGGGAGCTGGGGACAGAGGAGTATGGTGAAGCTATGGGAATTCCCACAAGGCACCCTTGTCTGGTCCAGTACAGCCATGAGCTGCATGTACTCCCTTGACTGGTGCCTCAATGCTTACTCTACTTAGAGGAGAGAAGGACACACACTTTAAAACTTCCTGCGGTAGGGCCAGGGATTTAGCTCAGTGGCTCTGCTGCCTGCCTCACAAATTCAAGGTCCTGAGTTCAATCCCAGTACAAAACATAAACAACAACAAAAAATTTCCAGCACTATTTGTGAGACCCTAAACCTCAGAGTTTTAACCACAGCACTGTGCTTCAGGAGCCACAGTAAGAGGAAGAGGGAGGGTTTTGCAGCTTTGTGATCACTAAACCTGTTTGAGGAAGGGAACTCAGAACAGGCAGAGAATGAGAATGTCTCCAAAGGGCACACTGGATTCTGGGGAAAAGATCAGAGTTCTACACCTCTACCCTGCACCTCTACCCTGAAGGAAAGTTTCATATCTCAACACTCTCAAAGGTACAGGTGGCACTAATTCCTGGCAAGGGAATGGTAAGAGCTACATCATCCCCTTTTGAGATTTTAAGTGATAGACTTCTCTTTTTGCTCCAAATGGTGACTAAGTGCTTTCCCTTATTTTGGGAAAGTGCAGGGCCAGAAATTAGCACAGACCACACCTTGCTGCTAGCTGTGTCTCGCTCTCTGTCAGTGTGTGCTATGTGATATAATCTTATCCTGGATGCCACTGCTTTGGTTCTCACTTCCAGCACACATATCCTTAGGACGAAAGCCTGTCTGGGCTGTGACATTTGTCCCCATGTTGCTTGCCAAGACCAATTTTGCTGAAGGCTCTGTGGATGATGCTCTTTTTATGTCTCCTCTCTGATAGACAGCTTTTAAGGTGACTGCTAACGATCCCTATCTGCCTGTCTGCACTTGTTGCAGGTCCCTTACCTCGAGCACAGAGAGGACCTAACAGAGTACAATGATGGTGATTGTAAGTCACTTCTCTGCTTGTGCAAGACTGTGCTTTTTTTCTCTTGCCTGCAGGCTTTCACTCTTGCCTTCTTGGCTTGCACACTTGGATAAAGCTAGTGGGACTGCATCTGCCAACAGTCCTTTGTGGAAATGAATCCTTCTCCATCTGTGAATCCTTCTCCATCAGCAACTTGCTGTTAGACTTCTGAGAATCCCTGAATCAGAGGACTCCGCTAAGCTGTGCCTAAATTCCAGACTAAGAGGAAAACATGAGGCTGTGTTTGTAGTCATTTGTTGCACAACAATGGGTCATGGTAACATGTCTTTCCTATCTGTTGCTGCTATGGTTCAGATATGGTATAAGCATGTACCCCAGTTATTCACATGCTGAAAGCGTGGTCTCCAGTGTGGTGATGTTGACAGGTTCTGGAATTGTTAAGAAGCATGGTCTTGCAGGAGGTGACTCAGCTCTCAAGAGGGATTTGTTTTTGTGTTGGGAATGTGTTCTTTCTCCACCAAGGGAGGTCTATGAGAGGGGGTTGTTATAAGAGAAACTGGCACCTGTCCTAGATCTTTCTCACATGGTGTCTCACCCTTCTAACTTCTCTTTCTCTTTTTCACACGCAGCCACATTATGTTATGCTGTCTTCAGAGAAGTCCTCATCAGAGCCAAGCAGATGTACCTGCCATGTTCAGAACTTGGAGTTAAATAAACTTCCTTTCTCTACAAATTATCTAGCCTCTGGTATGATTAAGCAACACAACGCATATTAAGATGGTTTCCTCCTGATGCAATGTCACTCTGTCAGAAACGGGTCCTTCCCAGATAATGGAGCACATATATCTCCAGATGTCGGTGGCCGTAATGGCCAGTTACCATCTGTGGAAATATACATCCTTGGGAAGCAAAAGAATCATGTAGAATACCTAACAGTTATGGATCACTGACTTTGGGGAGATTCCGATTTTCTTGTCCTCACCAGATCTTGTCTATAGTGGCTGGGAAAGGATCTAGAAAAAGGGCTCATTCTGATCTTGTTTGATGATTGGCGCCCTGGTTCCATGTATGAGTTATTGAGGGAGCATGAAATCATTGCAGATCCGTGGGCCAGGAGCTCCACTACACAGATCTAGAGGCCAGATGCTTTTAGCACCCAAGTCATATTCAAGTGTTTATTTAAAACAAAAGTCTTATGCCTCCCATTTGTGCATAAGCACTGGTTCCTCTTTCACACAGCTGAATATTTGCAATTACATTGCATGTTAAGGTTTCTTTTGCAAAACAATAAAACTGGTCATGGTGTGAAGAAAAGGAAGAAGAAGAAGGGTATAGAGAGGGGGAAGAGGAAGAGAGGGAGAAGCAGAAGTAAAAGGAGAAGAAATCTTGGCCTTGGAACATGTATCTGAGCAGGTCTTGTGGAGCTGAGCTACTCAGCCACCCAGGAAAATGTGGCCACCTGGGTAGTCCCAGCACAAGGATTGTCAATGTGGTCGTGAGGATGTGGTAAAGGGCAAGAGAAAAAAGAATCACATCCCATGATTCCCAAAGATCCTACACACATTAGGGACTACTTCATATTCTTTGAAAAGCCCAGCATCTCTGGCGGATTTACCAGATTACCAGAGAAGCCCAACGTCTCTGGCAGACTTAGTAGTTCATAAATGTTTGCTGATTCACGTGATCCAGTCATCCTTGAGGTTAAGGCTGGGCTGGTGAAAGATTCCAGACTCTACCAGAGGCATCTATCGCCCAGATTCCAGGAAGGCTTGTTTGACATAAAAGGTGTAGACACTGTTGCCCCTCTGAAATACACTCATGGTACTGAGACCATAGAAAGGGTAGTCTGGGTAGGAGAATCTGGGTGAGAGGTGGCCTAAGCTAGCTTCCAAAAGTGCAAGGAAAGAATATGCTTTTGCCAACTTTCACCTTGACCTGGAGCCCCAAACAAACATCAGAATGGGTTTGAAGTGACATCTCAGGGTTTTTCCTGAGTCTCTGTTGTCCTAGGAAGAAGTCTTTTTGGACTAGAGATCTCAGTTGTTGGATATAAGATTCTGGTCAGATAGGTAAAACGTTTCAATTTCCCTCCTTAAAAATTAATTGGAAGAAGCCATCTAATTTAGTACAAAAGCCCAATTATCCTTTTGCATGGATTAAAACAAAACAAAAACAAATCCAACAAAACCAAGGCCCAAGGCTGGGCATGCTGCTTAGTGGTAGATGATGAGCTTAGCATGTGAGAAGCCCTGGGTTCAATCCTCAGCCCTGAAAAAACAAATCAAACCAAACCACAATAACAAAACACAAAAGCAGAAAAGATGAAAGACTTGCCAAGGTCACATAGTCAATTGATTGCAAGGCTGGGCTACAGTGCAATGCTCACTCCACTCCATTCCCTTGCTTCTCTGCTTTTGGATGGGGTGATTTGTAACCATGGGACGCTGGGCACTTTAGAGCTGAGGACGCCATAGTAGCTAGGGACTTCCCACACTCTGGGGGTGTAGCCAGGGGAGAACATATGTGGGAGTGTCTGGGATACGGGCCCATCTTCCTGCTTTCCCTTGAGGCTCGAGGAGTGGGGAGTTCATCAGCGGCACAAGGCATCTTGTTCATATTTTCTCAACTGGGCGGTCCTGGCACCAGCTCATTTCCTGTCAGAGAATGAGTTTTTAATCTCTAAGCTCAAATTCACTTTGGATGGGGTGGGGGTTGAGGCAGCAAAACTGAATCCCCAAAAGTAGAGCCCCCTCTTTCTGACCCAGCTCCCTCTGATGGGGCTGGTGGTATATAGCAGTTGCAAGCTGGGGATTTTGACCATGCAGGCCCTGGGCAGAGATCCAGGAGGCAAAGCAGAACAGAGGCAGGGTAGGACCCCTCCTCCATAGATGAGTGTAGGGCTCATCTACAGGGTCTGGGTCTTTCTTCTGTCATTTAGGACTGGCTGGAGGTAAGAAGTCATGTTTGCTCATGCCCCGTCTCCATATTGGATCTCACATCAGTTTACCTCTTTTGGGAGGCCCCTTGACTCCTTGCAATGATTTGAATGTGTTCAAAGTTTGCGTGTTTAAAACTTACTTCCCAAGTTCATACATTGATAGTATTTAGAAGTAAGGCCTTTGGGAGACAATGAAGATTAGACGAGGTCGTGTGGGTGGGGCCCTCATGATGGCATCACTGGCTTTATAAAAAGATGGTGTGCATGCTGTCTCACCATGAGATGTCCTCTGCCATGTCTTGAGGCAGCGTGGAGGCTCTTACCAGATTCCTGTACCATGCTAATGGACTTCCCAGCCTCCAGAGACATGAGCCGGATCACTATCATTCTTTCAAAGTTACCAGTCTTGGGAATTTTGTTATAGCAACAGGAAATAGACTAATATATCCCACAGTTCTGGACTGGGTATATCCATATCCTCCTGCACTTCTCCCATTCCTAGTCCTACCAAGTCTATTATAAATGCCTTCTTACTCATCTGAATTCCTGTTACCCCATCAGCAAGACTGGTGGGATACATCCTTGCAAGAAAATGCGAATAGTGGGACTAGGCAGAGGGAGAAGTCACTCTCATTGTGGTTGAAACTGAGGCCTATCTGGTCCCACGAGGTGCCCTTGAGCTGGAATGGCTCACTGGAATTGTTCACCATGTAGCAAGGAGACCTGGTCTTTCTTTCTTCCAGCAGGGTATGACCTTGGGAGAGGCCATTACCACTGAGGGACAGGGTGTTGGCCACCAGCAGCTGACATCCCCAGTAGCTGTGAGCTAGGACTGTCTCTTCCAAGAGGAAAACTGGGCTGTTCACCATGGCACCCACCATCGACTCTCGGGAAACAGACATTTCTTGATGGCTTGGTAACACACTGTATGTTACCAGACACTTCCCAGGCACTCCAGGAATGTTTGGATGCATAAATGAAAGAAAGCACTTGGAGGGCCTTTTCTTCTCTGGGCTGAAAATGCCATTCCTCGCGCAATATGTTTTTTCAATGTTTGCATCCTCAGGGCTCCTTGGGGTCTATCCTGAGAATGTAACAGCAGAACTTACTGTAATACTCCAGGGAGGTTTGATTCATGGCATTGAGCTGCCTGATCACATTCCTGTCTGGACACTGCTTTTCTATAAAGCAACTGGAGGGATTAGCAGTGACAGAATACTCAAACTCCTCTGTGCCTATCATTTACTAAATTGCAGAAGGATTTCCCCCTGTATGTGTTCTGTGGGCCCCGCTGATCCACCCTTATAAAGCTGTGTGTGTGTGTGTGTGTGTGTGAGTGGGGGGGTGGGAGGGACGGAGAGAGGGAGAGAGAGATCTAAGAGCAGAGCCTAGCACTAATTAAATTCTTGCTAAATTTTATCTCAACTGATCTGCATTTTCTCAGCCAAGAGTTTGTGGGTTGCTCTGAGCCTCATGACTGTCTTTAACTCCGTCTCCAAAGTAGATGCACAGTTGGATCTGGCAGCACATGACTATAATCACAACACTTTGGGAGGCTGAGGCAGGGGGATCATAAGTTTGAGCCCAACCTGGGTATCTTAGCAACTTAGTAAGATCATGTTTAATGTAGAAGAGAAAATCTCAGTGTGAAAGCCCTGTGTCCAATCATCAGTATTGAACAAAACAAAACCCAAACTACAAATTAGGTGCTGTGTATATACTAGCGCTAATCTAATCACTTTGCATGGCCTTTTCTCCTTTAACCTTTACAATCAGAAGTTGGTTTTTTTTTTCTTTTTTTTTAGAACTGGAGATTGAACCTAGGCATGCTCTACCACTGAGTTGTACCTCCAGTCCTTTTTATTTTTTATTTTGAGAAAAGATCTTGCTAAAATGCCCAGGCTAGCCTTGAACTTGTGATCTTCCTGTCTCAGCCTCCCAAGTTATTAGGATTATTGTGTGAGCCACTATACCTGGCTGGTAGACATTTTCATTAGTTCTGTATTCCAGATCAGAAAGTGTCAGAGAGATGAATTAATTTCTCCAAGATTTTAATAGTTGGATTGTAAAGCAGGATTTGAGTCCAATTCTATCTAATCCCAGCCTAGCCTCTTAACTGCTATAATGTATAAATCCCTGTAGTTTCATCCAAATCACTCGCTGGAAGACTGGAGAGGGAGACCAGTAGGCTGTACTGTTAAGCACATGACAGTGCCTACATAAGTAGGGGTTCCACTATGTTGCAGGGAAAGATCTAAGGCACTAGCATGTACAGTGAGGGACATCATCTAGCCAACTGTATTTCCAAGGGGCCCAGGAACACCAAAGAAAAGAACTCAAATACTTAATCCATATGACTCCATCTGTAAACTGGGAAACCAAGAAGGCCAAGTGAAATATCTAAAAAATTCTCAATGTGAATGTGTTAGTGAGGGCCTCCTACCTGCAGTTACTTTGCTCTAACTGCTCTGGACTCTCCTCCAGTCCCTGCCCTCACACACCTTTGCCTTGCAAACTCCTGTGGGCCTCAGTCTCAGCTTCAATATTGCTTTCTCCAGAAGCTTTCAGTGATTACCCAGACCATGTACCTGGGTGCTATAAGTTCCTGGAAGATCTGCCCATCTCCCGCATGCTTGGCATACTTGTAATGACCTGTGTCCTTGTCTGGCTTCTTTGGCACTACATGTCCCATGAAGGCAGGGACTTGTCTGTCCTGTCACTCCTACCCAGCTCCTAGTCTGGTCCTAGGCATGCCCCTGAAAGATAATCAATGACTATACTTGGAAGACAGTAGCTAGAAGCAGAAGGAAAGAGGGACTCTTACACCCTTCCTAACAATGACAGTGGGCTGCCAACCACCCTACTTGAGCCACTCATCTTTTTATGTCACCTGCCCCCACCCCTTTACCTTCATGTCCTTATTTGAGCATTGCTTGATGTTCACGCAACATAAATAAATGTTACTGGGGAGGCTGGGTCCCCAGTGTGCAAATGAGCAGCCCCTGGCCACGGTCCTGCCCATGATGGTCCTACCACTTATGAAGGTGAGGGGTGCTTTCTGCTTCACTCCCTGCCAGCCTGGTCCTGCTGTGGTCCCAGTTATCTCTGACTGTCAAGGTGAGTCAGTGTTGGAAAGATTTTTAAAATGTCACCCAAGCTGGGCTCAGCAGCACATGCCTATAATCCAGGCACTCTGGGGGGGTGAGGCAGGAGGATGACAAATTTGAACCCAACATGAAAAATTTAATGATTGAGTGAGACCCTGTCTCAAAAATACACACACACACACACACACACACACACACACACACACACACACACTTTTCCCCAAATCACAGCCTTGCACCAATAACTTTGAAAATGAGACCAGGCCTTTGGGCAATGAGCACTGTCACTGCATTGAGAGAGAAGGTGTCCAGGGAGCTACTCCCTGAGCTCCTCTTCTCCATAGGGGCTCCTATCCACACCCCCCATCACCAAATCCAAGGGCCAAGTCTCCTGTGTTCTCCTTCCATCCTGCAGTGGGGGGAGCCAAGGAAGTGTGCTACTGATCCGTACACTCCCAGAGTGCTAGGGCTGATGGCAGCATCCTTACATTTGTGTTGCTGTTACAGGCAATGAACTTTGCCTGTTCATTGGCCATGTGTTGGCCATCTCATTTATGCCTACAACTTTTATCAGAAATAAAGTAAGAGTCATTACCTCTGTCTTGCCAATGGGAAAACTGAAGCTCATGGGATTATGTGGTTTTTCAGTGGCAAATCCTGGCCTAAATCTTGGCATTTGGATCTTTGCTTGATCCCACGCATCCTTCTGCTGTGACCACTGCCGCGTTCAGGATGGCAAACCCACCACCCCAGGCCCTAGGCCTTTTTAATTCAGACAATATACGGAAGGAGGAAAAAGAGCCAGTAGGCACAGAAGTTACTCGAGGAGCTGGCCTTCTCCTTTCTTGCCACGTAAAAGTTTCCCAAATGTGGGGAGCCATCTGTTGATGATGTGAGAATTGGGCAACTTCCACTCTCATCGTTAGCTTGGCAGCAAGGGAAAACGAGTCTAGAAAGAGCCCTTGTGTATCATAAAGGAAATTTGAATCATATGTTTTTCATTCATTTACTCTTAAGTCATCAAAATATTAGTTTCATAAGGCCTTTGATGTCCAGCTTGCTTTCTGCTTTTTTTTTTTTAATGGGGTAGCAGGGAGGAAGTCATGATTCTCTAGCTGTAAATTGACCAGTTTTGGGAAGGTTGGAGATAGATTCAGTACCCTGACACCAGAAGACCAGGGGAAACTCCCAGCTGAGTTCTGCTTTAGGAACAAGAGAGGGGCATTTGTTCTTATTCAACACAATATTCATCGGACACTTGGAAAGTATCAGTTTTAAACAGGTGCCAGGCAGAGAAACCACAGTCCTCTTCCATACACCGTAAGTAGTAGCAGACATTTAAATATATGACTGTGCTGCTCACCTGTAAGTGACTCCACTGCCCAGTCACCTTCTGGGGCTGTATCACAATATGGCAGATGGCATGATGGTAGGAATACGTGAGAGAAGGAGAGCACACTGTGAGACCACAAGCCAGAGAGGGATCCAGGGGCAAGGATTGTTCTTGGATAGCAGTTCACTATTGTGAGAAAGGAACTCAGTGCCTGAGACCAGCATTAGTCTTCTGACAGTGGCAGCCCACTGACCTGATCACCCTCTGGCCTCACCTCTTAGGGGTATCACCAGCTCCCAGCAGCATCACACCAGGGACCAAACCTTCAGCAGAGGAACCTTTAGGGGACACCCCTGCACCACATCCAAACCATAAGAGGGACACAAAGGTCAGTGCTGTGGAGTACAGGAAAGGGACCAAGGGTGAGGCTGGAGAGTGTTGCCAGGGAACATGACCATGGGGGAGAATCGTTCAGATGTTCTCCTGGTGATGTAATGTGGACTCAGAACTGAGAACCACTGAGATGGAGATGGTGGCAGTCAAAAAGGGAAGTATATCTTAAACTTCACTTCCTAGGTCTTGCTGTGGTTGCGTGGTGGGGAAGGAAAGAGGAGGTGTCAAGAGGGACCAAACAGCCAGTGATGTTAGTGAAGAATCCCAGAAGTGGCATCCAGTGACCCCTAGTTGTCAAGAGTAACTGCTACACTGGTTTTCCTATAGCACCCCAGCTTCTTGTGAGCTCAGCTGGACCCTGAAGACTCCAGGCTTTGAAGTCCTGATTGTTCTGTGCTTGTAACCCAAACAGCCTAATTAATATGTTTACAATACAACTTGGCAAGTGTCACAACACAGCTATAAATAAAATGCTGGAGTTTCTGAGAGAACCGAATGACTGATGCACTCGTGAATGTTGGCATTCTTTGCTGAGATAGTGGTGTGTGAGTTGGATCTTAAAGGATGAGTAGGAGTTCTTGGATGAAGAAGAAAAGACATCCAAAGCATGTGGGAAGGACCTGCTGAGTTTGCAAAATGGCAGGAAGGTCAGAATGTCAGCAACAGAGATGTGTTAGAGAGGATAATGCAGATGAGGATGGAGAGAGGGAGCAGAACTAGCTGAGAAGAGCTATGGAAGCCACAAGAAGGATTCTGATCTTATCTTTGGTACACTCCTCTAACTCAGCAATTCCTTTCCTAAGAAGATGTAGCCTTTTGCCTTCTGCTGGGGACTGCTGAAAGTAGGAGCATTTTGGCCCCACCAGACCCTTGGAAGGCTCTCTGCTCCATTCGTTTGTCCTTAGGTAACACCAGGTGTAATTGTCCTGCAAACAGGAAAGACTTTCCTGTGTCTGAAGCATTTTAAAGGAGGAGATCCTTAAAAGGCCCCAGGCTGTTTTCTTTGTTTTGTTTTGTTTTGTTTTATTTTGTTTCATTTTGTTTTGTTTTGTACCAGGGATCAAACTCCAGACCTTGTGCTTGCCAGGCAGGCAGCAGAACCACTGAAGCTTAATCCCCAGCCCACGCGATCCTTAAAAGGATGTGACCTCATTCGAATGCTTTTCCCCTTCAGTTTCAGCTTACTTTTGTAGATTCTCAGGGAGAATGGACACGATCATCACTTGCTGTAATGGAAGAGCCCCACATTCTTAGGCATCACCAATAAAACACATGCACTGGACCCCAACAATGGAAAAGTTCTCTACAGGTTGGAATATAGAGAATAAGAAGGCACATTCTTTGGCTACAAGTTGCTCACACATAGGCTTAAAAGAAATAAAAAGGAAGACTAGTGATACAAGGTGATATATACTAGTGTCAAATAAAATCTTTTTAAACTTTTCTCTGCCTGTGCTCTTTTTTCCTGGTACCCAAATTACCTCCCAGGGAGCAATTGTCACATGGTCTTGCTGTTGTTACTTTCCTTATCTTGCCAGCAAACAGAACTTCTTAAAGCAGCACTATGTCCTTTCCACCTTTATGTGAAATCCTTGGTACTTACTTCAATATCTACCCCAAAATAGGTGCACAATAAATGTTAGATGTATTAATACATGAATGGTAAAGATAATAAGGTTCTCTTAGAAGTTCAAAAGACGTAAGGGTCTCTATGATCCAGAATGGTCAGAAAAATTTGTCAAAAGTAGACCAACACCTACTTTATTCCTAACTTTTAGGAGGAATGAGAACCAAAATGATGCAGTTGGAAAGTTGTGAGCTGGTTAGAAGAAAGGAGTCAAAATCAAATTCCAAATAATGTTTTCCAGGTGGCAGTCCCTGGCATCTGCTCTCTGACTTCAAACACATGAGTTTTGGGACAAATGGTCAGTGAATTGTTCTAATTTGTGATCAGGTTCTGGGTGACAGGGACACTAATCTTCCCTGGGTGTTCTGTTGGGTGTTGGAGCAGCAGATTATTCTCTGGTTTTTCTGGAGCTTCCAGGACTCTGCTCTCTCTACCACGGAACATGCCCCCTTCTGAGTCAGTCTCTTTCCCTCTTGCTCAAATTAAAACATCTAATTTTAGACACTTCCTGATTACTCCTAGCTGGGTCTCATTAGCAGACTGAAAAGTGTTGGAACCTCAGCTGGAGAAGGAACAACTTTCATTGGTTCTTGTCTGGTTTCCATCTCCATATTGTTGTTGATGTTGGCTGGCTTTGAGCAAAGCAAAATGAACTCTCTCCAAAGACAGTGGGCCACAGGCTGCTGGCTGAGGGCCGGAACCATGGCGAGGGGTGAGGGAACGCATGTCTGAGGGAACATGACCACCGCTGGTGGCAGGCACATGTTTTGCTTATAATACATCTCAAACGTGCATAGGCATTTATTTAAATTCATATATTCATTCAACATTTAGTGATCCCTTAGCATATTTCCAGACTCTGAGTTACCCCATGTTCTGCTTACCATACCCCAGCTTGTAAGAATACAAAGCATTCAGTGGCTGGTTCCCGCTGGTTGAGAGCTCATGGTAAGGTGGGCACAAGAGAGGAGCACATGATGGCCAACTCACATGGGCTGTATAGAGATGCCCAAGAGACAGCATGATGGAGCAACAACAATTAACCTTTATTGAGTGCTATGTCCCAGGTTCTGTCCAAGGATTTTACAGGAGTTAACTCAATTCTCAGAAGAGCCTTACAAACTCTGGAGGGTGGGAGGTAGAGAACAGGGATCAGAATGGGATGGCCTTCTAGGCAGGTGGGATGGATGTGCAAAGGACTGCAGGTGCTGTGCACAAACGAAGTTGGGGATTGTTATACCACTCCCTACAATGTGTTTCCTTTGTCATAGAAAATATATCTCTGTAAATATCTTGTGGTTGACCATGTTTATTAGTTAGAATTCAAACATCTCCAGAGCATTTTATTCAATTGAAAATCTTCTCCAGCAAAGGCTATCATATCCTTCTGTTGGGCTTATACCTTATCCAACAAGGTCATGGCTGGGGACCCTAGTAAGACTCCTATTCTCACTGTCAAGATTCTTGTCCCTCTTCCTATTGCCCCAGGTGAATCCCAGTTCAACTCACTTTTAGTCTATAACCTCTTAGCACTGTTTTTTTTCTCTATTGACACAGCTTGTTTCCAGATGAAATGGATCATTACATTTCTGCTATCATCCTGGGACTATCCCTGAGCAGGATCTGTAGCCAAAGCCTTCTTCAACAAATGCAAGATAAACCAGCAGCAGTCAGTGTCCATCTGCACATGGCTGGATACCATGTTCAGGATCCCCTTCTGTCTCACAGTTTGATGCCCAAATCAGGTTAATATAAGATGTAAGCCACACACAGTATGTAATAGCTAAAACTTGGAAACAGCCCAATTGCCCATCAACTGGACACTGGATAAAAAAGATGTGGTTTTTCTATAAAATGGAGAACTACTCAGCCATAAAGAGTGAGAAACTGGAGACATTTATAACTAAATGGATGCGTATTGAGGCCATACTCTTAAGTGAAATAAATAGGACACACATATGGTAAATACTGAATAGTTTCTCTGGTGTGAAAAACTAAAAGTATAGATAAGTTTCAAATTGTATAATTGATGATGTGAAATAAGAAGAAAAAAGCTAAAGGAGTAGGGGAAGTGTGAAGGGTAGGGGAAAGAAAAGAAGGGAAAAGAAAAATATGAGAAAAGGAAAAAATGGAAACAGTATTTGTAAATAGGGAAGGGAGGAGGGGGTGAAGAGAGGGCAGGGGTATGGGGAAAAAAACAAGATCCAAGATATATCATGTAAAGGTACAAGATCCCAATGATGAATGTAATTGTACTATATACCTAAAAAATACCAAAAAACTTAATAAAAAAAGAGGAAATAACACATCAATTCAAAAGGAAAAACAAACAAACAAACAAACAAAAAAACCACTAAGCCACAGACTCACATAGTACTCAAATCCCAGGGAGGGACGTATAGAAGAAGGGAAATTGGTAGTACAATGTGGGTCTCAGTGGAGGTACTTCTGGAACACTGGAGAGAAGTGATCCTGGAAAAATATTCAAGTTCCTCTAGTGACGTTTATTGTTCCCAGTCAGATAGCTCAAGAACTACGGTACTTCTGGCCTTCACCGCCACTTGCGAACAACTTGTTGTTGAAGCATGTTCTTGGTCTCTAGGCCAGGGAAGCATGGCCTTTCCTCTCTTTTGCATGTCTTTTGCTCTAAGTCATAGCATAGCTTTTCACACCACAGTCTAAGTCATATAGCCCTGGCCTGCAAGAAGGGAGTCAAGCACTGAGCTGGCCACAGAGGAGAAAGGATGGCGCTGCTCAGGAATTCGGGAATGCCAGCTTTCCTCCCACCTGCACCTGGGCTCCACAGAAGGATCCTCTCCGGAGCACTTGAGGCCTGGAGTCTTTTTTAAATGGAAACAAGAGACTCGTAAATCCTAAAGCCAGACTCCCTTGGAAGCTCCTGGTTCGGAGCTTGCCTTCTGGGCTCCCTGCCATGAGGAGCATCTCCCAAGCTGCTCTCCCAGCAGACTTCACATGCGAACTTTGCTCTGCTGGGGCAGCCATGCCCTGCCTGGCCTGAGCTTCTGCCTGCTTGATTTACCATGGATTGGCATCTTCGGGCATCTTGGACTGAAACTTGGGGGTAGCTGAGCCCAGAGATGCTGAGCTAGCATTCTGGGGAACGGTCTCATGGGCTGGGTTTGGAGAGGTGCAGATAGTCATCAGTTTTATTTACAGGTGTTCAGCAGAAAGCTCTCTCTAGTTATCTTTGCTTAAGTAGAGGCCACAATACCCAGGTCTGTTCTCTGTTCTTTGTGGGGCCCCTCTGTGGGGCACTGATCCCCTAGCTTCATCCAGCTGTCCAGGACTCTGCCTCTCTTTGGCTCCCGGCCCCTCCTCTCGGGCTGCCTTTCCCAG